AGAACTGCAGAGTGCCTGCTGGGAACTGTGGGCTCACCTTTAAAAGTACTGTGTGTTTCAGAGGTGCGTTTAGCACTTAATAGAGCAGTCTTCCGTTCAAAGTCTCTGCAAGCCTCCCTCAAGTAAATTTTGTTATAAAGCTTGTAGTTATGAAGGAAGAATTTATTGGGAGAAAAAGCAAGGTAACTTTCCAGGGACTGAGCATTCTTTGAGATACCGTGTCCCTAGACATATTTACAGTGCAGTCATCCTCCCTTTTAAATACGAGTCCCATATGATGTAATCCTGCCTGTCTGGGTTTTAAAAGAACTGAGGAGGCAAAAGCACGCTAAGCCTGCTTGTACAGCGTTTGTTAAAATACGAAAGAAATAACATGAACGCCAGCATCGGTAGTTCTAGGATATGAAAAAAAAAAGTTGGGCTTTACAAATTGTGTAGTGGCAAATCACAGACTGTGGATGTGCGTGTGCACACAGTGCCTTCAGACACCCCATTATGGTTCTAGGAGTACTTGGCAGTTGATAAGGAAATACTCTTGGTAACAATTTACAGTTTAGGTTCTCTAATGCACCCTCTTAAAGGAACTTCCCCCCCGCCCCCACCCAGTAAATTGTAGAAAGAGCCTGGCGTAATTCAGTAGCCTACCTCAGCTAAACAAAGCCCTTCTTTTTGTGCTTTCCTCCTAAGCCTTCATTTTTCTCAATGGCATCCAACTTAATGTGATGTTTCTGACAGTACATTAAAATTTTCTTGTGCAATACAGTTAATTAGGACATCTCGTTTAGAAAGTAAGCTCTTTGTGAAAATAAAAATTCTCTTATCTTTTTGGTGCAGAAAAACACTTAGAGAGCAAGTAGCTCTCTCATGATAACCTCAAAATCAAGAAATTCATGTACTCCTAAAAAATTGAGACAAGTTAATTGAGCCATGATATCTTGTTCTTAATTGCTATGAATAAAAATGTCATTGCCTTCCTGATAGCATGTGGAGCTGCTACTTAACTTCAGGCTTTGTGTCAAGGTAACTTTTTTTAAGGTTTATAAGTAAATCTTCGATAACTTGCAATGTCATATGCTGATCTCATGTTTGGATGGGGGGAAGAAAACCAAACCAATTCTTAGACATCAACGTATAAGTTGCATTCCTTTAACCTTCAGTATTGCTTGAAGTACCACTGCCAAATCTTAAATAATTCTAATGTTCATGTTGTTACCTTCTTCATGCCATATGAAAATGTCTTGTTTATTTGCCACAAATGCAGCATAGTGAACACTAGAGATGTGATTGTTGTGTAGAGCTCAATAGAAAAGAACTCGGCTTCTTCCTCTTCTACAAGATGACAAAATTCAGTAATAATTTTATGCAAAAACTTTAGAAAGCCTGCTTTTGGAAATTCTGGTTACTTCAAATATGTGAAGAATCTGGTTTGATTTTTCCCTCCAGTACTTTTTTTTAAAAATTAATTCCTTTTCTGCAGATTGTTGAGTATTCTTCTTGCTTTCTCAATTTTAAATGTTGTGTGATATTGATAACAAGGTACTTAATTTGCCTTAATGATCTACATCACTTACCCCAGCTTTCAGCATCTGAGCTCAGCTCTGAGGTGTCAGCACGTTCTGTCTGCAGCTCGCTCTGCCCACTCCTCTGATCATCCAGGCCTTGAGACTGGAAATAGCATAAGTCTGCAGCGTCTTATGTTCTCTGTAAATTAAACTGCTTCAGCACGATCAGAGTTTGGAGCTATGCTCTTTAATTGACAACATTTTGATGTGTTTCATATATCTTAAAATATCTAATAGCTTGGTTTTGCCTTTTTTTTTTCTGGTAAGATGATTGTGTTGAGTACTGTATAGAGATGAAGGCAAGGCTATGCTTGCGGGCATTTCTCTAAATTTAGTTTCAGAGTGATTGGAAAAAGTTTTCGGAATCTCAGTTTGGATTCTGTAATTGGGATTATCTTTTTCTTTTAGAAAAATGCCATTGAAAAAGGACATAAAATTCTGAGCTGTTTGAAAACGCTACCATTAATTTACTACCACCTTTGTAAAAGCTAATTTTATTTACAGTGTGGCTCAGTTAGAAAAAGTACAGTTGTGATGAAAGACTTTATACATTAAAATTTTACCTTTTATGTTTATAATCCAGGTAAGTTAAAGGAAAATGTGCTCTTTCAATTAAAATTGTTCAAATATTTTGATGGACTCTCCTCAGCTGTGTTGAGGTCTGCTCAACTGTGTTTAAGGAAAACTCTCCTTGGTTCTAGATAGAACAGAACAGTGTCATGAGGATCTCACATCTTCCTGAAAAAAAACCCACATTTGAACTAACCTAATGAAGTGTTTGTTGTAAGAGTTGAAAGGTGTATGAGCTTGTTTTCACAAGAGCATTTTCTGTAGGGAACTTTATCTTGTCCTTCCAGGCAACATAATGGAGGAAAATAGGGATTCATTTTGCTTCTAAAATTTGCAGATTCCATAACTCTGGGTGAAACACAAGACAGGAAGAAAAAAAATAAAGAAAAACATTGGCTGTGTGGATTCCTCTGTGACTGCAAGGGTTTATGTTTATTTCCCCTTTAATGGTAGTTCCCGAAACAACCAGCATAGGCCACTTTTCCGTGTTCTTTCATTGCAATATCAAGAAAAAACTTGGTTAAACACAAAGATCACTAGTTTATGGTTCTACCTCAATTCCTGTAAGTCTCCCAAATTAGTTTTAAATAATATTTCTGTTCATTGATAATGTTTACATTACAACATAGTTTATTGTATACATAACTTTGTCAATAATATCAATACTTTTGCAGGTTTTGAATTTTACTGTTTTTCAATTCTTACACCACTGTCCAGTTTGACTTTCATAAGCAGCATCTTGTCATAAATGTGTTGTTTATAATGAGATAAAAATTGTTTTATTTCTCATTAAATGTAATATTTATGATTTAAATGTAATATTTAGAGACAAATACTGTATGCTTGTCTCATGTAAAAATACACATGTGTATGTGCATACACACACAAATAATTGTTTTCTGTATCAGTTAAGTTATTAATAGAAAGAGAAGCAGATGGTGTTTCACGTAATCTGGGCTCTGTTCTGATTTTAGCCAAGTGGAATAACTTGACTGGTATTTAGAGGGCTTCCAAGTTCTCTTCAGAAATAATTTCTAGTTTTCTGGTTGTGTTTAAAACAAAACTAGAGGGTTACTTTATAGAAGCTATGAATATAGAACAGTACGTATATTGGCCTTTAATGCTCACTGGTAAGAAAATGAGTTTTTTATCAAAAGAAACTTCTGAATAAATACAGAGCTTACTGAATTTTTGGTATATCATACGCATCTCAATCTAGCTCCATAAAATAAGGGACTGTGGATAACGCTTTAATTACCAAGATACCAGCCTTTTTTTAAAGGAAGGTGAGTGGATTGCTGAGGCTGCCTGACTTGCTTTTCCAGCAGCAGCCAGACAGGATGAGTACATGTGGGTTACCCGGGACTGAGAAGCGCTGCGGTTTGAAGTGGCAATTGCTGCAGGCCAGTGCTGGCTTAACAACTGAAATGGCCCCTTCCTCCCACCTCGCTGCCCTGCTCTTCAGTAGCTTCAGCTTCCACTCAACAGACTAGCTCTTTGAACTGCCTCTCATTTGGCCGGTGGTTGGTATTGCTAGCTTGAGGCACAAGTTTCAAATTTGGGCCCCATCTGACTTCTGCCTAGCAGCAAAGGTTGTGAAATGGCTGTAATGAATGTGTGATCTTTCAGGAAAATATTAAACTCCTTCATATTCAAATGGTCTACCTATGAGCTGATGGAGTTCAGCATGGAGTTTCTTACAAGTAAACCCCCTGTACCCAAACACTGAGCAGAGCTTTTTCCGGGGTGTATTTCTTTGTGGGTTATAAATAGAAGTTGTAGCCTGCTAGTTAGTCCTGCTTCAGTGCTTGCCTTTACTTGTCTGTTGGAGTCATCAGGGTGAAGCTACAGGTGAAGGTTGGTGCTAAATTTTTGGGGTTGGTTTTTTTTTTTTCAGTATGATTTTAAAAGAGTTTGTGTAACTGTGCATGCTATTTTAAGTTACCTGTAAAATACTTAAGAGCTTGATGTTGATTTATACAATGTGAAGTATCTTGAAATTTTAAATCTGTACAAAGGTAGTTTTCAAAATACAGCCTAACTTGGCAGCAATAGAATAATGAAAAGCATGTTATATTAAATATTTTATATTAGATGTATATCAGCAGTACCAGAACTGCTATGCTTGTAACTTTTATAGGTGAAGGTAGACACGTATATACTGATATTAGGCAAATTTAATACACATTTTTCCAATTATTTTAGTTAATACACCAGTTAACTACTAGTCCTCAATAGCGTGACATATGCTTATTGATTTATAGACTACTAGGTTTATTTTTTCAGAAAAAGTTTAGTGTTTTAACTAGTCATATGAAAGAGTTACAAGAAAAAAGTTTGTATTTAGTTCAGAACAGTCAAATTAGAAAATACAGGTTTAAAAAAAAAACCAGTGTACACAGGCATGTCTATATAAAAGCCATATAGTGCTAAATAATATGTAAATTTTTCTGTACAAATATAAGCTGTATGTAATATGGCTTAATGAACTATCTTTACATTATGTGATTGCTAGAAGGCTGTCTAGGTAGAATATAACTTCTAGTTGAAATACGTTTGGAAAGAAGTATGCCACTTTCAATGATATTTAGCTATTTGATTCAAATAACATTTTAATCTTACAATAATTACTTTAACTGTTTGCCTTTGTTAACCTGTAAATATTTCTGCTAACTTCAGATTCTGAAAGGTTGTGCTTAGTTATTTTTAATAGGAGAAAGTATGTCTTATCGAATGTTGTGTAAAGTTGTAGCAATGCAGTGTGATT